CGATGAAGTTATCAAGAATTTCACTTTATTTGGAACCACAGTCAATACCCATGGAAGAAGAAACACCAGTTAAGAAATCAAACAATATATTGCACTGGCAAAACATGCAGAAGAATATCTCCTTAAAATATGAAAAGCAAAACAAACCACTTTGAGGGCTAAAATGTTCCTCACCTAAGCAATGGCATTTTTGATCACTCATATACCTTCGAAAGTTAGACAAAAAATGAGAAGAATTTATTAATTATGACATTGGATAGAATTTGGTATATGCCTCTGGTTTCCAGAAGAAGGGGCAAATCTGATTTGGAACAAGTACAGCCAAAATGCTCTTGAGAAGCAAGGATGGTGAGACTTTGTCTCACGTACATTGGACATGCCGTAAGGAGGGACCAGTTTGTGGAGAAGGATATTATGCTTGGTTAAATAGATAATCAGTAAAAAAGTAGACTGTCAACAAGTTGGATTGACACAATGGCTACAACATTAGGCTCATCTGTGGGCGTGGATGTGAGGCTGGCACAGGACTGTGCAGTGCTTCATTCTTTTGCGTATAGGGCTGCCATGAATTGGAGCCAGCCCAACAGCATGTAACAACGACATAAGAGGAAGTTTCAAAAGGTTCGTGCAGAATGGAGGGAAAAGAAAATATAAAATTCCTATGAACTTTAGAAAACCCAATGTAAATAAGACATGGCTTTAGAACTAAACTTTCCACCTCTACCACTTTTCAGGAAGATCCTTCTCTAACTTCTGCTTCTGGGCAGTCTTCATGTGGCTTGGTATTTTTCTACCTCCATTTTTGCTCTCTCTGCTTGGAATCGCAAGGTGGCCCCCTCAAGATCTTGGCAATCTGCTAACTTCCCTTCTATTTGAAGTTTCAGCCAATGCTGTAAGAACAGAAATTCATACTGGAGATACACTTTAGAAAAGAATAACTAGAACTCTTGTTCTTTGTAGAAAATATTTTCTGGAAAGATTACATCTATAAATTGTTTTGCCTAATAATCATTGAGCAAGATGGCTGGGAGTTAGTTCAAAGTAGAAACATTGGTTGCTTTCTTGTTCGTTAGCAATAACAGAGTACAGCAATAATACAACTACAAAGTGAGAATAAGTCTAGATTGATTTTTGAAACCACATAATAAATGACCACAGACTTACAGACTTCCATTTTGATACCAACTCATGGCAACCCCAATGTGTATTACAGTAGGTCTGTGTTCCATAGGGTTTTGTTTATTTTTTTCAAATCTTATGTCATAGGGTTTTAAATGGCCTTTTTGGGGGGACATAGACTGTCAGGCTTTCCTTCTGAGTTCAAAAGTTTAGTGGTATAAAAACATTACAATTTAGTATCCCATGATTTTGTAGGTCAGAGGCTCAGGATAACATGGTTAGTTGTGTTTCTCAGCATCTCACACTCGTTTCACTGTTTCCCTTCCTCGTTTGCTTTGTGTGTTGGAAAAAACAACTTACTTTTAAGGACCCACGGAAGTAGATCAGACCCACTCGGATACTGTCACTGTTTAAAGGTCAGTTGTGTGACCCAACAAGACAATTGTAGAGATGCTATTGCGGCATACTCTCGGGCTCCACAGATTAGAGGACCTCTTTGGAGGCCATTTTGGCGAGTCTGCCTGTCACAAAACCTAAGTGGCATTTTGCATGACTTGAAAGTTAACTAATAAAACCACGCAGATTTCAATCTTGTAAATCAGATATCTTTCTTCCCAGTTCACGGGGATGAAATTAAATTTAACTCAATCAAAATCCCAACAGAATTGTTTATTAAATTGACAAGCTAGTTTTCAATTGCTTCTGTTGGAGAAAGCGTCAAAGAGCAGGTGTAGAAAAATGGTAATCGATACCAAATAAATAACTGTATTTATCAAAATCTTGGGACACTGGTCCAGGAATACAGAGATGAAGTTGTTTGGAATGACAGGGCAAAGTATAGGTTTTTGGTAAATGATAGAGCCCTTAGTATTCATTTGGAAGCAAGTTAGGTCTTGTCCCAAGAGCAAAAATAATTTCTAAATGTGTTGAAGAGCTCAGTATATTAAATAAAACTGCGAAAAGCACTTTGGAGAATTTTCTTGTAAATTTTTGGTTAGGAAGTCCCCAGTCCAAAAGCTAAGAAATACAATTGGGCTAATAAGAGATTGTTTACTTTAATTAGAGTCTGGAAAATTAAAATGAAAATTACTTTCCCCCCTTTCTTTATTCAATCAGATTGGAAAATATTTGCTTAATCCAAATGTTGGAAAGGGTGTACTCTGGTGGATTGAAATGTAACAATCTTTTTGGCAGTACCCCCTGTACTTGTGTGCATGTCCTTCAATTGAGTCATTTCACTTCCAGGCTTCTACCATAGAGCAATACACAGGTATGTTAGCACAAAGACGTTTATTAGATGTGGTATTAACGAGTTGTGTTGGCGCTGCAGTGGGTAAGTGCCAGTGGTTTAAACCTACTAGTTACTCTGCAGGAGGTAGAGGAGGCAACTTGCTCTTAAAATGATGTCCAGCCTCAGAAACCCTGTATAGTGTCACTGTGAGTCGGAACTAAGACTTGATGGAAGTGGGTGGGTTGGGTGGTGCTGTGTTTATGCTGCTTGACCGCAGTTCACCAAAAGGTAGGAGGTTTGAGCCCATCAGCTGCTCTGTAGGAGAAAAACGTGGCAGATGGCTTCTGTAAAGATTACAGCCTTCGAAAATCTGTGGGGGCGGCTCTACCCTATTCGGCAGGGTCAGTCTAAGTTGCAGTTGACTTGTTGACAAGGGGTGTGGTATCAAATTTGTAGCAGAAACTCCTGGAAGGGCTTTTTGCTTACAAACAATTAATTTAATGAATTTTGGAAAAGTGACTAAGTTTAACCAAAGTAATTGGGAGCAAAACAGAATACACGTGGATCTTTTCCTAGCCTGCACATTTATCATCTCCTGTTGTGGTTGCTTGGTGTCTTCTGATCCATAGCTTCCTCTGTGGCAGAGGAGGCCTGCCCCATAGGGTTGCTAGTCCGTAAGCTCTCTAGAAGCACATTACCAGGCCTTTCTCCTTCACAACCTCCAGACAGGCTTGAAGCACCCCTGGCCTTTTGTTTAGAAGCCAAGCACAGAGCTCCTTTATCACCTCATATTACCCATTTTGTAACACATTTCATAAAAACATGAAAAATCTTACGGTAAGAAACTACTTTCTGCAAGCAGTGCAATCTTTATTTTTTAAAATAATTTTATTTGGGGGCTCATACAGCTCTTACCACAATCCATATATCCATCCATTGTGTCAAGCACATTTGTACTTTTGTTACCATCATCATTCTCAAAACATTTTCTTTCTACTTGAGCCCTTGATATCAGCTCCTCATTTCCCTCCTTCCCTCTTTTCCTCTCTCCCTCCCTCCCTCCCTCCCTCTCTCCCTCCCTCATGAACCCTTGATAATTTCTAATTTATTATTATTTTTCATGTCTTACATTGACCAATGTCACCCACTTTTCTGTTGTCCATTCCTCTGGGTGGGGATTATATGTAGATCATTGTGATTGGTTCCCTGTTTCTCCCCCCACCTTCCTCTTCCCTTCTTGGTATGGCTACTATTGGTCCTGAGGGGTTAATCTGTCCTGGATTCCCTGTGTTATGAGCTCTCATCTGTGCCCGTGCACATGCTCTGGTCTAGCCGGATTTGTACGGCAGAATTGGGGTCATGATAGTGGGAAAGCAGTGCCGCCTTGAGTACTCACTGTACACAAAAAGCATATCATGGTTATTCTCTGGGGACGGTGCAAAGAATCAAAACCTTTCTTTCTTACCACAAGCTATGACTGCTCAGGGAATTCTTTTATTCCCTGGTTACACCTGCCAACAATGGGAAAAATATAGGAAAAATCTGTATCTGTACACAGAACCTTGAAACGGATGATTTTTGAAGATTAATGTGGCATGGGGGAGAGTCCTAGCTAATTAAATGCTTATTTTATGTGAGTGAATAATTGTTATTTAACATGGCAGATGATAAAAATCTTAGTGTAAAGAATCTGTGTACAGAGGAGGAGGAAAAGGGGAGCGATTAGATTATTAGATCGTGGCAGCATTTAAAAGGCATCCACAGGAAGTGCTTTCTTTATGTCTGCGATTAAGGGAGAGGATGTAAAATATCTTCACAAGGGCACTTAATCTGTAGATTTCTTATTTGAGGACTAAAAAGAACATATTTTACATTGCTATTTTAATTTTACATATCTTCTGTCTTAATTTTGTGATGTAATGATAGAGGTGAAGTAGATTTTGTTTAAAGTAAAGACATTGGGGTTTTAGCTAAAGAAAATGATTTTCATATAAAAGGGTATCTTTCTTAAAAGAAGAATTTTGTCCTGAAGCTAATTCACAGTCCTGTAAGAAAAGAAACTGTCATTACTTAAACCCACCCAGAGGTGCCTGGGAAGTCAGAGGTGGCAGCCTACTCCCAAAAAGTGGCAGCCTGGAACACCCCATGGGGCAGTTCCGTGCTGCCAGTGTGGGGCCACGAGTCAGAATGGATTTGGCAGCAGCTAACTGCCCGAAACCACTTTCTTTCTTATTGTATACTTCACGGCACACATTTCCTTGTAATTGTGGCAACTGGGCCAGTAAAATTGTTCTCGTTGGGAACTGAGCTAATAATACAGGAGAAGCACGGTGCGTGTGCCCTGCTGACAAAGACATCTCGCTAACAAAAACAACTCTTTCTGCAGAAGTCCACTAAAGGTGCCATTGTCCTTGACCACGTATTCCGTCACACAAACCTGGTGGAGATAGATTATTTTGGGCTGCGTTACTGTGACAGAAGCCATCAGACGGTGAGTACAATGACTTCATGTGATGTTTTCCTGCTTATAAATTTCATTCTGTCTCTGTCCTTCCCCGATGTGGTTCTAGATGGCTGGTTTCTTTGAATGCGAAAATGACTTAGAAAGCATGAGGAATGTTTTCCCTGATAACTTCTTCACCCGAAGTCTGCAGATTGGCAGGGCACATGCTTATCCATATAATGCCGAGCGTGATGTTTCCGTAACATTTAATTAAATGTATATATTAATATATCTATATATATATAGATATAGATAACTATGAAAGTAAAGAATAAAAACAAAAAATTTTTTCCGGGAATTAAAAATTCAGGTGTTATAGGGATTATGTTACAAAGGTTCCAGTTTGCAACCACATCAAGCAAAGTGCTTTTCATTTCTATTAGTAAAAGTACTTGATAAGCCATTACATAGATATGAAGAGATAAGTGTCTAGTCTCTTGAAGTGACAGATCCTCCTTTACTAAGAAAGTAAACAATTAAGAGAGATATGCAATATAAAAAGGTGTTTATCTAAATTTTAAAAGTTGACTGAACAAATAATAAGTAGGGTGCTCTTATTTATGAGTCTGATGCCAAACTATTCACCAGGGTTAACCAAGAAGATCTGCCTGAGTAGTTGGATGGTGGAAAGTTATTAGAAACCTATGGATTCGATGTGTTTATGGGGCTGAAAAGCTGTCTCTTGGATGATGAAGAAAGGGAAGACCTTAGAGGTGAAGATTTTGAGTGAGGAAGGATATTCATTAGTGTGACTTTGGGTTTAGTGTAAGAAAGATTTTAACTCTTATACTGTCTCAAGGCAAAATGCTCCTGCACTGACATTAAAAGTATCCTAAAGGACTTACCTTTTGTTTTGCATGCTATACAACTCCTTTTGAAATTGACTTTCCTCCTCTTGCTACATCAGTGTCCTTCAGCCTCTGCTGGGTCATTTGGGCCCATTAAATGAGGAATGCGATCTTGAGAGCTGAGCTATTGGAAGTTTGAGTGTGCTACCATGCCTTAACCCCAGAAATGTGCTAAGATGAGAAGAGGCAGACAAATGGAATATTACTGAGGGTGATAACTTGTGGTTTTTCTCCAGTTGGCTTCATAATCTGTTCTGTTTAGCAGGAGGATTTCACAAGGTAGGAGTAGAATATTAGGTGTTAGTTAGCTTTCGGCACAGAGAAATAGCTGTCTAAAGATTAGCAGTCATTAAATTCACACTTCTAAGAAAGAGAATAGGCTATTTCAGAAGTTCACAGGATTCTCTCCTATCCACTTCATGAGTCAATATAGGAAAAGTGTAAATGTATGCTGAATAGTTAAATTGAAAACCATAGAAGCTATCTTATATTCATAAAGCATGTTTCCTAGTAGAGAAAAATAGTTAACTGATCTTAGATAGGATGTAAGGCCCTGTCTGGAAAGATTGGCTGTCTTGCTGAAATTATGTAGACCTTTCTGCTTTTTTCTTTTTAAAGAAGAACAATGTGAAAAGCTAGAGAATTTCAAACAATGTGAATTTTTGCAGAAGAATTAACAGTTTAGTGAGGCTGATTAGAAGTTTTGGAGGGTTTACAGTAACGTCCAAACATTCACACACACATACCCCCATTTTATTTGTGAGGTTTCAGTCCAACTCGTTGCCACTGAGTTGATTTTGACTCACAGGGACCCTTACAGGGCATTGTAGAACTGGGATTTTGAGACTAACATTTTATAGGAGTAGAAAGTCTCATCTTTCTCCCATGGATTGGCTGGTAGTTTTGAACTGCTGACCTTGTGGTTAGTAGCCCAGTGTGTAAACACTACACCACCAAGGCTCCTCTTATAAGGCTTAGCATTCATTATAGTGGTTGTGATATGGATTTTACAAAATTAGAAAAGAAAAGTAGAGGAAAATGTATGAACTTAATGGTGTCAATGCAAATAACATGAAAGAAACTAATTTTTGCCTCAAATTTGTGAACTCATAAAAGAGATAATTTGCAAACACTACTTAATCTTTGCTTGTTTATATGTATCATGTGTACACACACACACACACACACACACACACACACACACACAGTTCACTTTAGTTGTAGGAGGCTGTGTTACCATGTTCCCTGGATAGTAATACCTTACCTCCTCCCACTGCAGATGCTCAGGATTTCCCCAGCATTTAGCTTCTGTGAACACCCCCAGATGCCTATAAGACATGTAGTTTTATTTTGGGAGAATAAAATAGGATGAGTAGGAGAGTGATGGGAGAAAGCAATATTAGTTTCTCCTTCAAGGTTATTTAGTAGGATCTCTATATTGGAGAGGGTTGGTGAGAGCTATTAATAATAGACACAGCATTGAAATTATAATGCAGACTACTGTGCTTAAAAAAAAAAACCTGGGTGAATTGAAATTATCTAAGGCTTGGTAGGACCTTGAAGAGCCTTTTGGGTTCAGAAGTCATCATTAGTAGAGCACGATGTAACAGAAAGTAACTGCTTTGGGATCACATGCAGGTCTGGGTCTTTTTCTGTTCCTTGCCAGATGTGTGACTGAGGGCAAGACACATATGCTTCTTGATCTGCGTATCTGTAAATTGGAATAATAATGCATTCCCTGCATTTTCTCAGTTCTTGATCTGCATATCCTTAAATTGGAATAATAATGCATTCCCTGCATTTTCTGAGTTCTTGATCTGCACATCTGTAAATTGGAATAATAATGCATTCCCTGCATTTTCTGAGTTCTTGATCTGCATATCTGTAAATTGGAATAATAATGCATTCCCTGCATTTTCTCAGGTGTCATGTAGGATCAAATTAGAAAATCAATACGAGCTCTTTGTGGATTATAAGGTGTTAACATGGAGAAGGCATTTCTCGAAACTGAGATGGAGGAAAGTAAATGATGACTTTCTTTGGAAGCACAAACCAGGGAGCTAGGGGCAGAAGGAAACCGTCTGGAAAGGGGAGAGAGAATCAAGTAAGCTCTGGGTCTCAAACACCTTTGGAGGCTCTTTCAAGATGAGTTTTGTTAATATTGAAAGCAATAATGATAGGTGGTATCTCAATACTTCTCACTTTAAAATTAATAGTGATTGTTATGTCTGATATTAAGGATAGCACTTGAGTCTCCTTTACAGATTACCCTTTCAAAAGCTGTGGTTTTAGATAATTAGACGTTTTTGCAGAATGTGGGAATCAGCCTGGCTTTGAGAATCAGGTTGTGAGAGCCGTTACCTTACTGGGAAGCCACAGAAGGGGTAAACATGTAGTAGGCAGATCCAGTCAACTTGTAAACATCCCTCTCCACCATGTATTGCTCCACCGAGACAAAGCCATTAGGTAGAAGCTTCCCAATGTCTTGTATCTTCCACTCTTGCCCCCACTCCTTCTTACGCTTCCTTTCCTTCCCTGTCACATTGGAAGGGTCCCAGTGACTTGGTGTGCTGGCCTGTAACCTTGACAGGCATCTTTTCTGTTCAGATCTCTGTTTCCCATCAGTTTGGGCCATGTTCAAGTCTCTCTCATCTAAAAACCACCCTTCCTCGTTCCTGTACTCTCTTCTGCCTTACCTGCCTCCTTCTTTGTCACACCTTACCTTCTGAAAAGCTTTGTCTAAATTCATTGTCTCCACCTTTTTTCTTTATTGCAACCCACCCCCCAATCATATCGATGTTGTACAAATGCTAGCGAAATCAGTTTCAAAACATTTTCTTCCTTCTTGAATGCCTTGATATCAGCTCCCTAACTTCCTCGCTATATCCTCCAGGAATCCTTATTTTCGTTATTGTCACTGTAGATTCACCTGTCCTGGGTTTCATAAACCAAAAAGCAGAAAAGCACATAACAACTACTCAAGAAGGCTTCCAACAATGATAAAGTACAATAGAGATAAACCCAAGTCTGAAAAAACAACCCCAGAAAGTATTAAAACCAGATCAAGCCCACAGTGTATCGGTAAGAAGATCAAGTGACAAGCTTTTCACCGTTCAGGTCAGATTGATCATTTTAATCTACTGTAGTCGGCTCTCTACTGCTCTCTGTCTGATAACCAGGTTGTTCCCATCCCTCAGTTATCGTTAGAAGGAGGCTTATTCCCTGTGTAAATCCTGCAAATGTGATTTTTTGGCTTCTGCTGTCTTCCATAACCTTCTGCACACCAGCCTCTCACAATTTAAGCTCTGATACTATTCCCTCCTTTGGATTTATATTATATAATTTACAATCCTTGGATCACATGGCTTCGTCCATGTGGGCTTAGTTGATCCACTTCCTAAGACTCCGTCATTTTAAAACTTTGCATAGTTGAGCATTGATCCCTGTCACACCCCTGAAACGCCTCAGGGTCCGTAGTTGCAGAATTCAAAGGATGTTCTCCTATCCTTTTCTTACCTGCCCTTTCTGTTGACACAAGTGCTTGCTGCTTCTGAAAATCTCACCTTGCTCCTATGGAGCCATAGTCTGATGTTCTCTTTTCAAGTTTTCTTCTGGTTTTCATTTTACTCGTTCTTCTTCTCCCTTTCCCGTCTTTCCCTGTCTTTTGAAAGGTTGGTAGTCCTCATGTTTTCACCGCCATTCTCTGCATGCTCTTACTCCCTACCACCTAATGCATCTAAGTTACCTCTGTGGGTACAATTTTTCTCTGATTCCCTACTTTCCTTTAAAATCTAAATGAAGTTGTGTATGTCTCTATCTTCCTCACTGCCCTCGAACGCTCTGAGCAATACTAACCATCACTCACTGATTGTTTGCGGGCAGCCTCAGCACTGTGCTCTCAGCCAGGAGGGGCAGTGCTTGTCTGCAGCCTGATTTATTGTATTTTGCCAGGTGTCTGAGATTTCACTTTCTGTCATTGATTTTATGTTCTGACAAACACCAGAATGACTGATGAAATGTGTGTCATGATAATGTGAGTCCTCTTACAAAGAAACAAAACAGAGTGTCATGTGGATTATTGTGAATTGAAACTATCTGAGGCATAGCATCTGACGGAGGTACAGCATGCAAAGAACAAAA